CGGGCTGCTTGTTTTTCGGATTTCGTATCCACTGCTTGTTTCTTGTTTGCCTAGATGGTTTGCAGACAGTATTACAGAAGATTGACTCATGAATTGAGCCTCCTTATTTTGGAAAGCTTAATAGAAGTATGAAATAATGTCACTATTCTGACCAACATGTTAGCTTTTGAAATTTTGATGAACGCCCTTTCAACAGATGTTAGGCATTCAGTTGTTGAGGCTGCATTTTACCAAAAAAAAAAAGCTGCAAATCGTCTTTCAGATGGTATTTGAAAGAAACCATCTCGTTGCTAAAAATTTCCAACGTCTTCCTAAAAATAATCTTTTGCTCTCAATTGCTTTACTTAGCAGAATCACAAATAGACGTGAGATTTGAGAAAACAACAAACAGAATCGTAGTTGAGGGTGGAGTTTAATTGTTCTATAGGAAAAACCACTAGATATAGAGGCAAAATATGAGAATTTAAGAACAATTTGGATATAATTAATTGTTTTGTTAAAAAAATCAGATTTAAGTCTAGCTTTCTAAAAAAATAATAATTTATAAATAAAAAAAAAATTGCGGGTGCGGGGCGGGTGAATAAGGGTGGAGTGTGGGGCGGGTTTAAATTTTGCGGGTTCAGACAGAACCCGCCCCGCACCACCTGCCGTTCCTACTTATAGTAGTCTAGTCCTTTGGTACAAGTATATCTTTGAACGAGTAGTTCGATCGATAATGTGTATCCTTTACTTTTATTATTATGGATTAAGATTCCCTTTTTGTCCTTGCTATTGAAACTTTTTACTAGGTTCTTAGTCACAAAGGTTATGACGGTGCTGTGGCAGATATCTGGTCCTGTGGTGTCATCCTTTATGTTCTGATGGCAGGTTATCTCCCCTTTGATGAGGTTGATCTCACTACACTGTACGCGAAGGTAGTAGCTTTGCATTTTCACTATTGTGTACTTAATGGAATTCCTTACTGCGGTTGCAGAGCAATGTGACATGATAATCATGCTGACATTTTCACATTTCATCACAGTAAAAGAAGATTATTTTGTAGCAAAGTTTTAATCACCAACATGTATGTTTATATTTTTTCTGCAGATTGAAAGAGCAGAGTTCTCCTGCCCGTCTTGGTTTCCGGTTGGAGCAAAATCACTCATTTCTCGAATTTTAGACCCAAATCCTCAAACAGTAAGTACTTAATCAGGAACGTACATGTGGTAAATTGCGCCCATAAACATATATTGTTTCGGAAACTTATCTGTCAAAAATTAATTTACCTATTGAATTTGTACAAGATTGCAACTTATCCAGTCTGTTAGTATGTATTAGCAAACTTGTCAAATAAAAGCAAGAAAGGAATTTTAATGTAAATCCTTTTCCTTTTCACCTCTCTTCTTTCCCCCTCTCACAAATGAAACCACATTGCTGTCCTTGGCGCTCTCCCACTATGCTTCTGGGTATAAGTCAACTTCCATTACTATAGAGCTAGATGGCGTCAAAAATATGTACTAGGTGTCTATGTGACTTAAAGCAAGTTATGCATAGCTTCGTATGTTTAAGGGTGCGTCAATCCACTGTTTTGTGCCTTTTGAATCAGAAAGTACATTGAAAATGAATGGAAGAAAATTAACAAAAAATAGATGGAAGAAAAATAGACAAATTATGCTGGTTCTAGGGAAGGAGGTAGAAAGAGAAAGTGAATGAATGAAAGAAAAGGAAAAGCAGAGTGCTTCACATTTTGTTTATATTTCTTGTTTGTGCTGAAATTTCAGTTCTTCATGATGATCTCCATTATCATGGACCAAGGCAGCGTCCAGTAACTTCTGCCTTTTGGGTTTTACCTTTCATCTTTTTTCTTTGTATCATCACCATCACTGACATAATCCAACTGTTTGAACCATTTTGTTCATTTAACCTTTTTCTGTATGATTCCCCCTTTCTTTGTCTAGCATTCCTGTTCTACCTTTACATATTCTTCTCATCTTAGTACTAAAATATCAATAAACGTAGAACAACTCAGGAATACAAGAGGAGAAAGAGAAGAAGAAAGGAAGAAGGAGAACTGTTGGGATAGTAGGCAATTGCAGATGGATGGGGGTTCATTTCAAGGAAAGAGGAAATAGGATTCTCCTTAGTACTAACTGGCTCGTTTTTAAAGTTTAACAGAAGTGCTAAGTTGCAACGTTTTAAAAGGTTCTGTGTGTAAGATGCTAATATTTTTTATGGCTTCTTGAGTTATTTATTCTTTAAATTATCGTTATATTCTCTTACTCGACTTCATAACTTTTGGGTTGTTCTTGGAGTGAAGTAGCTGTATTGAGGTTTAAGCATTATACAGTTATATTGATCATGAAGAGAAATTTGTTCTTTTACAAAAATTTACGTCTTTTTGCGATGTTACCACTCTTTGATATCCTGCTATTCTGTGCAGCGTATTCGGATTGAAGATATCCGTAATGATGAGTGGTTTAAAAAAGGTTATGTTCCTGTCAAAGCTATGGAGTATGAAGATGTCAATTTAGATGATATTAATGCAGCTTTTGATGATACCGAGGTTGGTAAGGCTTTGAATTGCTGCTTTTGATATATAAAACATTTTGCTGTTTAACTGGGATTTTAAGTGAAATCTTGCCAGGTCTTGCTTGGTGGCAAGCTGGTAAGGATCTTCCCTGAAGCATCAGTTTGTACTTGTTTACTGCTAAAGTGGAATGTCCTCTTATCATTATGTTGAGAATGTAATTGTTTAGTGTTGAGTAATAAAACATATTGGGGCTAACACTTGTATTTTGAGGATGGAAATAGTTTTATAAAGGTGCTTTTTTTTTTTTGGATGACCGAGAAATCCGTCTGGGGCCGATCCTTTGGACCAACCGCAACCTTCGAAACTCGGTGGATGGGCCCGCCCCTCTACCCTTCTCCACTTAAATACCAAGCTTTGCTTTGCATGTGGGGGCTTGAACCTGTGACCTAAGACACAAATCCACCACCCTTTGCCACTTGAGCTAGGCCCCGGGTATAACTTTTTGCATTATCCCGAATCTTGCTGAAATTTTTCTTCGGAGAAGCAGAGGATATGGACCAAAAAATCAAAGAAATTTCAATTTGGTAGGGATTTTAGGGAGTGTTTGGTATGATGAAATATATTCCTGGGTTGTTCTAATTATTGACTGTTTATGTTGTTTTTGTTTGCTTTCCCCTTGTTTTTATGGCACCCTACAATGTCTTATAGGGGGTGCGATCCAATGAGCAATGTGACAATGCGGATGCTGGGCCTCTGGCTCTAAATGCCTTTGACCTTATTATTCTCTCTCAAGGATTGAACTTATCTGTATTGTTTGATCGCGGGCAGGTATAAGTTCTGAAATTTATACCAAATTGACCATTTACAATGGAGCTCTGATTGTTCCTCTCTTTCATAGAATCATAATTATTATAGTGTCCATTAACATATTTATCAACTAGTTAAATATATAAGGTGCTGGTCCTAGTTTCTTGTCATTATTAAGGTGCTGGTCTTCAACTTAGATAAGTGAATTGTGGATGCTGGCTTTACAGGATTCAATGAAGCAGCATCAAACACGATTTCTTACGCAGAAACCAGCAAAAGTTGTTTTATCAAGTATGGAAGTTGTGGCCCAATCCATGGGTTTCAAGACCCATATCCGCAATTTTAAGGTAGACCATACCTTTACTTATTAATAAGGGGGATCTCGAGTTTCACCACTTGGGTTCCCTATGTCATTGTTCCTTTCCTTAAGTTCTATGCTGCAGTTTTCTTGGAGAACCCTCAAGGTTAGTCTTTTTTGTGCATGTATGTCGCAGATGAGGGTAGAAGGTCTGTCCTCGAACAAGACTTCACATTTCTCTGTAATTCTGGAGGCAAGTTTACATCTTACATAAGTTGTTTCAATTTGTGTGGCACTCTTTGTTTGGTAGCTAAATGTTTATTATTCATCAGGTGTTTGAGGTTGCTCCGACATTTTTCATGGTAGACGTTCAGAAAGCAGCTGGTGATGCTGGTGAATTCCTTAAGGTTAGTTCTGTCCTGTGGATATACATTGATATTCTTTATTCCAACCATTCTCTTTGCTTCTTCTCTTATCCAAACATGCCTACACGCAAGTGCTTTGACTGATACCTACCGTGATTTACAGTTCTACAAGAACTTTTGTGGCAATCTGGAGGATATTATCTGGAAGCCATCAGATGAAACATGCAAATCAAGGGTTACAAAAACAAGGAGTAGAAAGAGATGATATTCGTGTTAAGGAGAATCTGTTTGTATTTTTGTGTTTGTATGATGTTTACAGCATGTTGTAAACTTTTATAGATTGACATCTAACCTTTGAAGCCACGATAGGCAGTGAGTACTTTTTTATAGTTGAGCCAAGTGAGGGCTAAAGCTCCCATGCTTTCCCCAGGTTTTGTATCTTTAATCATTTCTATGTGGTGAACGATCTATCATCTTAGAGCAAAAAGTAAACATATAAACACTTTTAGAGAAGAGTTTGTCAAGTCGATAACTTTGACCAGCTTCTGCGCAACATTTCCATTTTCAACAATCTTATAGTGCCATTGTTCTTAGCAAACCATGCAATTTTATTTTCTGGTTTCATTAAATTTATGTGAACAGCTGAGGCAACTGCTGTGAAAGCCATGTTCTGCCCGACACCTGAGCTTTAGCAACTAAGTCATTTTCCGAAAAGTGTTTTCCAACCTGGACATCAACAATATGAGTTGTTCTAAAGTTTCTCGCCAGTTTTTATTCTTCTTAAGTTTCGTACTGTGTTTCCTCTGAAATTTTCAGTCTTAAAATTCCGTAAAATTTCATCTAAAGTATAGCAATCCCAGGTTTTACTAAACAACAAAAATAAAACCTTGTTTCAGATGTCATACAAAAAGAAGATGGCACGAGAAACCTCAGAGTATAACTGAAATAGCAATTGGAATTTAGAAAAAATACCGAACTCAATATGCTGGTATTGCTGCCGCACCACATTAATCCAACCAAATTAATATAAGCCACTATTTGTTTTCTGATTTTCCTTTCATATGACAAGCTACATGATCTACTGATCAGTCAATGAAGAACCTTTAGGACATTATGGTATTGCGTGGAATTAGAGAACAGAAACTTGACAAGAAAATTGATAATCAAGAAAGTAAAGAAAGCCAAGGCTTTGAGAAAGAATTAAACAAGACTACCAAAATCACCACAAGAACAATGTCCATTTACAAATTTGTGCAGCCTTTTACTATCTCTAATGAGGATTTTTCTTGAAGTTAGCTGTGAGATGAATTTCATAAAGCTGTGACAATCTCTACACATGCTAATACTCTTAATAACTCGGATGGGTGCAGCACTTGGTGTGCTCAGCAATCCAAACGCAACAGCCAACTTCTCACCGTGTCGACCTCTAGGAAAAGCTGCTTCATCATCTTCTTCAGTTCGCAGCTCCAATGTTGTCTGTAACTCAAATCCCATAGTACTTGCTTTGTCATCCAAATCCCTTAAGAAATTGTCTATATTTTCATATGGAGGATTCAACCGATCACCTGTTCTAAATGAATGAACTTTGTCCCTGATGCTGATCCAGCTCCAATCCTTTAGCTTTCCAATTTTTTCATCTTTCATTAACTTTCTCACCTTGGAAACATCCTTCCATCTCTCCGTTGAGAGGTACATGTTTAACAACAAGAAGTAAGCCTCTGAATTTTTCGGATTCAGGTTTAGTAGTTGTTCAGCAGCATAAAAGCCGAGCTCTGATTTCCCATGGCTTCTACAGCCCGCTATTAAAAGTGACCATATAAATTCATTAGGCTCAAAATCCATCTTCTTTACGAAGTCAAAAGCTTCATCTATCCTACCTAACCTCACAAACATATCAATCAAGCATGCATAATGGTCCATCACGGGCTTAATTTTATACTCTTTTTTCATCATGTCAAAATATGCCAATGCCTCTTCAACCAGTCCAGCATGGCTACATGCGGAGAGCACGCCCACAAATGTAACCTTGTTTGGTCTAGCTCCTACGAACCTCATATCCTCAAATAGCTGTAATGCTTGTTTAGAGTAGCCATGTTGTGCGAAGGCAGTAATCATAGATGTCCAAGATATCAAAGTTCGCGTAGACATCTCCACAAAAATTTTACTTGCCCTGTCAATGCTTCCACATTTACTATACATGTTAACTAGGGCAGTTCCCACTACAACATCAGACAAAAAACCGGACTTAATAACCTGAGCATGGATTTGCTCCCCTTGTTCCAAAGCAACCAAACTACTACATACAGTTAACACACTTGAGAAGGTGAATAAATCAGGCTTCATCCCTGATCGATGCAGTCTCAGAAAAGTGTTCAGCGCCTCAATACCACTGGAATGCGCATTGATGATACCATCCTCGGCAAGATCCATCATTTGAGCTAGACCTGCAATCATTGCATTCCATGTAACCAAACTAATTGTCTCCATTCCATCAAACAGCTTTTTTGCCTCTATAATCCATCCATTTTTCAAGTATAAGTACATAATTGAATTCATTACTCGTAAATTAGAACCATACCCTAGTTTAATGCTCAAAGAATGAATTTGTGATCCCATCTTTAGAGCCTGCATTATGCAACACATGCTCATTACGCTTGTCAATGTGAACTCATTAGCCTCCACATTCGCGCAAAGCATCTCAACAAAAAGGCTTAATCCCATTGCAGAATCCCCATTATCTCCGCAGGCAGATATAGCAGTTGTCCAAGAGATCACATTCTTATCAGAAATCCTCCGAAATGCTTTAACAGCAGATTCCAGATTACCGCTTTTGCAATACAAGCTACAAAGAGCATTGCCAATACTTGTATCATCCTCAATTTCATATTTTACCACATACCCATGAATCTGCTTTCCTAACTCGAAATCAGCCAACAAAGAGCAAGCTTTGAATGCAACACCTAACGTATAATTCGTGGGAAATCCACCAACTTCCAACATTTCCTGAAACACGGAAATAGCTACCTCCGGCTGTGCATTGTGAACATAGCCAGACATCAAGGATGTCCAGGTAACAACATTTCTTTTAGGCAAATTATCGAAAACCTTACGTGCACAATCCATAGTCCCACATTTCGCATACACATTAACTAAGAATGTCATGAGAAACAAGTCCTCATGGATACCCATTTTGATTATGTGGGCATGAATTGCTTCAGCTTCTGAAACTGAATTATTCTTGATACATTCTTGTAATAGTGGAACATAAGCAGCTGATTCCACTTTCTTTTCACCTTCTTTTATCAGTGAAAGTGCTTCTCTGAAGTCAAGATTGAATGGGTCCAAAGCTTTATCCAAAATCATAGGACTATGATTTCTCTATCATAAATTAAACCAGAAAACAAGCAAAAATAACATGAGCACTTTGACATAAATGAAATTATTGGTATTACTCAATTTAAGCAAGTAGTAGTAAGTTAATGAAATAAACTAAGAGCCGAAATAACTTACCTTTTCTAATGGTAAAGAAGCGAGTGTAGGTTTCTTGAAATCAGGTTCGAGCTTAAGGGTGCTGCCTACTATAACTGAAGGCAGAAAAGCCATGATTTCTGTCAAGTATAAAAGAGGAAAAATATTTTGATTTTAGTTCATTGTTCTTTGGTTATATATTTATCTGAATTTTGAAAAGAAGAAAGAAAAATGTTATCTTTACAGTTTTGATGTGTTTGGATGAAATTGAACTGAAAATCCTAATAAGGGAGACCGGTAGAGATTGATTATGTGGACCCCAGCAACAAGTTATCGGGAATTAATCATTAGCGGGAAATTCACAATTTGTTAACAACGTTACGTCACGCTTGTACGGAAGGGTACAAGTGTATATAGCAATACAAAAAGTAAATCGATAAAAAAATTCTAACTGTATAAAAAGAATTACTACTTATAATATAACTGTATATAATTTAAATCCAATTTTCAATGAAAAAGAACATACTATATATACTAGCCGCAAATATATCGAAATAGGATAGTTTCTGTAGTGTGTTTGTGATCAAAAGATGATCAACTGAATAAGAAAGTCCAACTAATAAACTCAGTTCATATATAATAGGAGTAGCAAACTTCTTCTCACCTAGCAATGAAATGACTAGGAAATAGCCTCCTATCAAAGTTATTCACCTTCATATTCTTGAATGTGAAATTCAAAAAATTCTTGAATGAGATCCATGATATCGCCTTAGCTTGCCCGTGACAAACATTTTTGCTTTTGATGGAAACTAGACTCTCCCTGTAACTACTTAGAACACCACATGTCACAATACTTATCAAACAGATGTGTAAATCCACCGTCATAAATTAAAACAGTACATTTTCACCATTTCCAAGAATTAGCTTATCATGACCCCAGAACCCAAGAGGGTTATAATCAGGTGTACTAGGCACTACATTGAGAACTTTAATCCACAACTTTTCCTCGTTCATCAGCCATATATCAATACTTCTTTTATAAGGATCGAAGTGACTCACTAGTAGACAAACGACTCCTTATAAAGAGTAAGATGAACATCAATGCCATGCCTGATATACATATATATATCAGGCATGTAGGTCAAAATATTCGAGTAGAAGGACCTCTTCAAATCCAATGTCTCTTGTTTTACTCCAATAATAAACTCCGTTCACACAGGTCGAGCACGATGATTGTTTCAGATTTGAAGGACTGATTTCAAAGTTGTACGTTAGATTTCTCCAACAGTCCTTGTTTAATGAATAAACAGCAGCAAACTCTTCCCAAAAATGCGAAACGCAAACCACCTTGTAATCGTCACTTAATGGATCAAACCCAAAGCCAAATATATGAAGTTCATAAGGTTCGTATAATTGGCTGAGTTCGAGGAAATATGGGGGAGAAAGAAGAGGTCGGAACTCTCTTGTAGCTGGGTTCCAAAGAGCCATCCGATTATTACCAAAATCTTTGTACAAGAAAAATATATGCCATTGACGGGACCAATAAACTCATCCAATTCTATAGGAATCTGTAAATAAATAGGTTTTTCAAGTACAGGAATCATAGGGGGCGATAGCAGAATAGAGGTCATGGATTGTGGGGGAGGTGGGTTGTAACTCAGAATGAAGAAACGGCTAAGGGTTTTCCTTGTGATGAAGGTGTTTTCTAACAATAAAGGAGCTTGTAATAAGAGAGTACATTTGCGATTTAACAGGTAGCCTCACTAGAATATCTGTTATTAAATCATCAGGGCAATTAGAATGCTCCATTCTGCAATTTAACAAAGTCTTCACTGCTTCAAAAGTTTGGGAGAGTTGTAATGAATAGTAGTAATTACGTGGGGAATATATACACTAATATTTATAGAGTTCAGTTCACTACTGAGGCGGCCTTTTTTTTTTTTTTTTTTTTTTTTTTAAAACTCCTACAAGGACTAGGAGTCGTTCAAAGCTTAATTAAAATTCCGAGTTAGAGTCGAAATAGCAGTTAGGTGTCCGCCCCAAAATATTGGGTTCTTGATTTGTCTCTGATATATACTATCCTGTGAAAAAATGTGGAGCAATTGTCTGCGTTATTAACGGTGGCGGACCCAGGATTTTTATCAAGTGGGTTCAAAATTTAAAGAAGCAAATATACAAAGAGGTCAACAAAAACTATATATTAATAGAATATATTATTACAACTGTCCTCTACGAGTTTTCATGTCCTGAAACGTATTCATAATAGTCTCATCAGAAATGACGTTAAATATTTTTCTTTCTACATAAGGTACCAAACAACCGCTCATGAATTCGTCATTCATTCGGTTTCGCAATTCACTCTTGATCAACTTCATCGCCAAAAAAGTTCTTTCAACTGTAGCAGTGGCAACTGGTAGAAGCAAAGCAAATTTTACAAGGCGAAACACAAATGGATAATTCAAATGCTTCTTTGTCTTAACTAGTGTTTCAGAAAGATCAACAAGTCTTTGTAGATTTGAGAACCTTTCATCAACATCACGAACATCAACAATATAAGTTTCAAGTTGATTCTTGAGCGTAACCATTATATTCTCATCAAAATCGTCAGGATACAATTCAACCATCATCAATATCTTGTTTATGTCAAAACTGGAAAACGAATCAACTGGATTTAAGCAAGCTACTCCAACAAGCAAGTTCGTTGTCACCTCATTAAAACGAGCATTGAGTTCTTGAACTTGCCAATCAATAATCTTAAAAAATATATCAACACGATAGTGATGTAAAATAGTATGATCAGCAACTTTACGTCGAGATCTTCCAGAGTTAACATAAAAGTCATCAAAGTTTGGTATCGAAATATTATACTTGACACAAAATGCAGACACCTTATCAACAAGTAAACCCCATTCTTCTTCTCTTAGTTTTTGCAATCGTTTTTTTGCCACTTTAACAAGTAGAATAGCATTTGCAATATCTTGCTCCTTTTTTTGTAAGGATGTATTAAGCTCATTTGTCATCCCCAAAACATCTCTCATTAGGTGCAACATGAAAGCAACCTCAAACGCTTGACAAGTGCTAAGATATCCCTTTGCCTTAGCTCTTTCTTCTAAAGTCCAGGCATCAACAACGATAGTATCAAGAACATCAATAATTGAGCCAAACATAGAAATAAAGTTCTTAAAAGATTTGTAGTGCGAACCCCAACGAGTATCGGCAGTTCTTGCAAGACCAAGTTCTTGATTCAAACCCCTACCATTTTCAAGTTCACCCATGTCTAATGCCTCTTGAACTTTTTCTGCTTGAGATTCTCGAAGATCATCCATACGTTTAAAAGAACCTCCCACTATATTCAATATATTAGAAACCAACAATACAAGTTCTTCCACTTCAAGACATTTTTTGGATACCGCAACAAGAGTCAATTGAAGTTGGTGTGCAAAACAATGGATAGAATAAGTGGATTTACTTTCTTGTTGAATCAAAGTTTTGAGGCCACAAAAATTCCCTTGCATGTTGCTTGCTCCATCATAGCACTGTCCACGCACATAAGATAAACTCAAAGAATGTTGAGCAAGGTAATCAACAATTGCTTCCTTTAAACATAAAACACTAGTATTACGAATATGAACGATCCCAATAAAATGCTCTACCACATATCCACATCCATTAACATATCACAAGACAATAGCTAATTGCTCTTTGCGTGATACATCACATGATTCATCAACTAGCAATGCAGAAAAGTCTCCATTTAGATCATCCATAATTGCTTTAACTGTTTCAATTTTATATGCAATAATAATGTCTTTTTGAATTTTATGGGAGGTCAACTGATCATTCTTTGGAGCCTTTTTCAACACAAGATCACGGATTTTATCGCACCTCCCTACATACCATGAAAGAATCTCAAGAAAGTTGCCCTTGTTTAGTGATGATTCATCTTCATGATGTCTACGAAATGCCAATCCTTGATTCAACAAGAGTCTCACAACCTCAATTGAAGCCTTTAAGCGAATTTTGTATTCAAGCTTGGTTTGACTGGATTGCCTATCAAATGAAGTTTGAATTGACTGCTTTTGTTTTAATAGATCTTCACATTTCCTTTTTGCATGATTATGAATACTGCTCGACTTGCCAACATGCATATCAAATCTTTTTTTCCAACTCTTAAATCCTAAACTTGAAAATACATCGCCTCCAGCTTGATGAATGTCTTCATCTTGAAACAGGTAACAACACAAACAATAAGCTGCATCTTCTATCACACTGTACTCCAACCAATTACGATATTCATCAAACCATTTAGGATTGAAACGACGCTTTAAGCCCGAAAAATCTCTTTGAGGAAACTTATGATGTCGGGGTTGGCAAGGACCTCTTCGGAGATATTCTCTTCTAATCTCATCACGCTCATTTGGATGATAATCTCTAATGGGTATTCTCTCTTTTGGATCAGTCGGTAAAGAATCAAGATTTATTCCTTGTCTTTGTCTTTTAGAGGATTGAGGTTGCTCTTCTAATTGGTTCAAATTTTGTTCCACGGGAGTAGCAATTGGAGAGGATGAACTTGGTTGTGGCAACTTGGAAGATACTGAAGGGTAAAATCTCTTCATTGTAACACAAACTGGATTACCAAGCAACCATAAGCAAGTCAGCAACTATAACAATCAAAATTCCAGCAACCATAACATCAAAATTCAGGTAACAAGAATAACTGATCCAACAGATTCTTGGTGTTGTTTGGTATAGAAGATGTGTTCTGATTGATAGTGAAATTCATTGGATTTCAATAAAGTCTAAAATTAACAATTGTAGTCCTTTCAAATAATTACAGNGTCCTTTCAGATAATTACAGTGAAAGCCACAAAATCAATCAACTTTCAAAGACTACTAAAGATTCTTATGAAAATATAGTCTCGAATTCCTTTAAAAATACCTAATTAAAGGATTCAACCAAAATCTTGAACAAAATTGAAAACAAGACTTGAGAATAAATAAATTCTGATGGCATATTAGTATTTCTATTTCTAGAAGACATAATGCCTAATAATATCAATTCAGAGAAGAGAACAATCAAAAAAAGATAAGAAAGCAACTGGTGATGCACAAGCATAGAGATAAGAAAGTACATACATTTAAAAATTTGAAAAACATGTCCTCCTTAGGCTTTGTCACTGAAAAAAAAAAGATTAAAAATCAAAGAGAAACCTGATAGATACCAAAATGAAGCCCTTTGTCTTTGAGAGAGACGACCTTCTAGGCAGCTGCTAATGGAGGAGATGACTATGGAAGCAAATCTTGAGAGAGAGAGGGAGAGAGAGAGGGAGAGAGAGGCATCGAAGGGCTTGAGATTACAACTGATTGTGTTCTGATTTGGGGAATTGGGATATATTTTTCTGATTTGGGGGATATTTTAAAAATTGTAAACGGCGTCGTTTCAGAGTAGAAAAAGAGATGTATATTAAAAAATCCAAAAATAGACACCATTGTGACTATCCAGTTTCAAACTCAGGACCATATAGGAAATTTGAACCCTCTTTACCATCAGGCTAGGCGATTCACTTGTTTGACGCGGGTTTAAAATAAGTTTTATACCATTACGTTTTTGAAGACAGAAAAAATATGCGTATATACACAGTATTATTTTTCGACGAAGCGGGTTCATATGAACCCTCTTGACCCCATGTGGGTCCGCCCCTAGTTATTAAATAGGAGAACACTACTAATTAGAGCCGTCAATATGGGTTTGGTCTAATTGGACGGCCCAACCCAGGTCGTTATTCAGTAGAGCTGGGTTAAGAGTTTTAGAGCCCATTTAAAAATGAGGCTTTTAAGCCCGGTCCAAATAAGTCTGTGGCCCATGAGACTTGCTTGAAGCTAAGTAGGATAAATAAACGTATTTAATTAAAAAGAATATAAGGAACTAAAAACAACATGAAGAGTTGTACAAATTCAAAATTAATAATAGTTGGTATGTGAATTTAAATACTATTTTTTACTCTTAAAAGTTTAATTATTTTTTAATATTTAACTAATTAACACTGCATATAATTATAGATTTAGATCAAAATGAAGATGTTAAGACATCTTTATTTCACAAGAGGTTTCAGATGTGCTTGATGAACATAATTTATTGATGTTGGATATGCCTTGAGCACCATGAAAATGTTTGAGTAGTTTATTTCGAGTATTAACTTTTAAGGAATGAATATTGTCCTCTCTTTTTTTGTGTTTTATAGTAATCTATTGGAGCAACATCAGAAGTTATTAATCTTCGCAGAATATATATATATATATATACACTCTTTTTTTGGGTTAGTAGGAGATCTTTATATATATAACAACAAAACTAGAAAATATATTGCAAAGTACTATCAGTATCGGGGTATTGTAGTTCCCCCAGTACCACGATATTTTGATTAATTGTATCAATATTACATGCAAAAAAATTTCGAACAACTTCAGTTTCTAGGATGTCAGCCCAAAATACATCATTTGCAAACATCACAGGAACTGCTAGTAAGCTTGATCTTCCCAAAAAACTTGGCTTTGCTGTCTCTTTTGCTAGTGCATCTGCCACCCTATTCTACCCCCTATACCTGTGTCTCACCACAACCTTGTCCATCCTTTGCATTAACAACCTGCATTCACAAATTATGGGATCATATGTTAAGTTACCTGTAAGAAGCATTTGGATTATTTTGCCGAATCTGTATTTTTGTCCAAATGTCTGGGTTACCTCTAGCGGCCCCATCTGTATTAAGTTTATAGTACCCTCTCCTAGGGGGGCTCCCATTTCATATTGGTTTGGAAAGACTTCTTGATGGTGTCACTTTTTGCCAACAAAAAGTATTCGGTTGCTTTAGAGAAGCTGTTGGTGGTGCTGATTCTATCTTTTTTTTGTTGAAAAGGTTGTGATTCCTAGTTAGCCAAATGTGCCAGAAACAGAAGGGAATGATATTCTCCCAAGGAACGTTTTCGTTAAAGAGTGTGTTCCTAAGTTTATTCCATGTTAATAGCCATTGTTGTGGTGAGAAAATGGGATTTTGTTGCCTACTCTCATTCGAAGCCTTGGATATCTACTCCTGCCAGAATTGAGCTACATTTATGTATTCAAAGAAAATGTGGTCACTTCTTTCTTGAAAGCTTTGGCAGAAGCAGTATTATGGGGTTACAGTTAACCCTAATTCTGTGAAGGTAGGATCTTGTAGGTAATCTATTTTGGGCAAGAAGCCAGATAAAGTTCTTGACTTTGTTAGGAGCTTTTAATTCCCAGATCCAAGTAAAAGTCTCTTCCTCCTCATTTCCAAAGTGTTCCTTACTTTTGCTAAGGAAAGTGTAGGCTGAGCTGTTGGTGAAGGACCCATTTGGAGTCAATCCCCAAATTAGCATGTCTTCCTTGGTAGGGTTGAAAGGGATGAAAACAGAATTGATCATGTTAGAGATACTTGTAGGCAGTTCCATAGAGACGGAAGAGAGGTCTCAAGTCCTTGAATTGTAGACGGAGTCTACTTTGATAGTTATGTCATTTGGAGTAAGGGGTCCTTCAATCATATCTCTAATGGTTGGCTGGTTAAGGATCCAAGCATTATTCAGGAAGCTCACCTTGTTGCCCCTTGTGGATCACCCATCTGCTAGCCTTCCTGCATGTATCCCAACTCTTGAGGATACATTGCCAGGTGGGAGATTTAAGAATCCTAGGAGTAAGGTTCCAATTACAGTGCTTAGAGATCAGAACTCTAGCCCAAAAGCTTGAGGTATTGTGATAGATCCTCCAAGCTAGACCAACATAGGCTGCTTTGTTTTTGAAGTTTGCTTTTTGGAGGCCCAGCCCACTATTGGCCTTCTTCTTGGTGACCTTATCCCAATTAACCAGATGCGTTTTTTTCTTATTTGGGGTAGTGCCCCAGATAAAGTTCCTCTGGATTCTATCAATTTTCTTAGTGGTTTTTGTGGACAAATTGATATATTGCATGACATAGTTAGAGATACTATTAAGGGATGACTTAGCCAGAATGGTCCTACAAGTCATGTTTAGACAATTTATTTTCCAGCCAGCCAGCTTGAATTGCATATTGTCTATTATAAACTAAAAGTTAGAGCTAGTGGGTCTCTTATGGAACATAGGAAAACCAAGGTATTTTTTAAAGGAGGTAATAACTTGGATTGATAGTGCATTAGTGAGACATTCCATGGTGTCTTGACTAGTATTAGAGGAGAAGAGTACTCTGGACATAATGAGGTTGATATTTTGGCCAGAATTCTCATTGAAGGACTGCAGAATGTAATATATGGTAGTGTAGTTCCTATTGTTTGCCTTGGCAAACAGGGTAAGGTCATCGACAAAGAAGAGGTGGGAGATTCTTGGGTCAGCCCTGCTGATACTTATAGGCTGTCATTGGTTGTCTAGCACAACCTGGTAAATCGGCCTGGAGAGTCTTTCCATGCACAGGATGAAAAGGTAAGGGGATATGGGATCCCCTTGTCTGATGCCTATGGAGGGCTTGAATGCTTCAATTTTACCTTCATTCACTAAGATTGAGATGCCGGAAGAGCTAATGTAAGACATAATTAGCTTAGTCAGTCCAGGGGGAAAGTTGAAAGCATGGAGTGTGTCCCTGATGAAGGACCATTCTAGTTTGTCAAAGGCTTTTCTAGATCTATTTTAAGGATCATATGAGTCTGTTTCCCTTTCATTTTCCTAAAGTGAGTAATATACTCTTGCACAATGATAGCATTGTTAGAATCTCTCCTATTTGAAAGAAAATAGGCTTGGCTAGGTCCAATTATGTCAGGAAGCATTGGCTTGATTCTATTTATAATAATCTTAGTGATGGACTTGTAGATTGTGTTACAAAGTCCAATTCGTCTGAAGTTTTTGAGCATGGAAGCTTGGGGCACTTTGGAATGAGACATAACAGAGTTTGATTCATGGTATCATCCATGGATTTAGTAGTGAAGCATTGCTTGCAAAAATCAATTACTGAATTTCCTACAATGCTCCAGTACTTTTGATAGAAGTGGGGATGGAGGCCATCAGGCCCTGGGGTCTTGAAGGACTTGAAGGATAAGATGGCCAATTTTATTTCTCCCATTTTAAGAGGTCTATTCAGACTATTACTTAGAGAGTCAGATATAGTATGGGTCATGTCTATATGGTTGGTAGTGGAGATGGGGGCTTGTGACTGTGAGGAGGTATAGAGATTCTTGAAGAAGGAGAAGATGGATGTCTTGATGCCTCCTTGATCATAGAGCCAGTATCCACTCTCTTCTTTAAGAGAGAGGATCCTGTTTCTTATTCTTCTATTGAGAGTGGATGAGTGGAAGAATCTAGTATTGGCATCCCTATTATTTAGCCAGTTAATCCTAGATTTGAGCTTCCATAAATCCTCCTCATTTTTGAGGATGGAATCAAGCTCATTGGTCAGGTTGGTTTCTAGGTTTAACAAGTAACTGTTGAACTGATAATTAGGGGATTTTTGGATTCCTGTAATTCTGGCTAAAATTCTTTTTTTATGGAATATATTGCCAAAAGTGTTCCTGTTCCACTGGGTCACAATCCTCTTAAAGGACTTAGTAGATTGAATTAGGGTAAAATTAGGGGTGAAAGCCT